GAGAGAGAAACAAAAGTGGAGGGGTAGAGATGGGAAAATGAACCAGGAAGTGAAGCCCACCTGCTCACTCAAGTTCCGCTGCTCTGCACAGATCTCCAGTACACAGTTGCTGGTCTGCTTGGCCAGCTCTTCCAGGAAAGAGTTGCAGTGATGAAGACCATGATTCTTCAGGTGGGGGTACTAGAGGAGAGGACCAAGGGAGAAACTGTCAGCACCATGATGGCTACTTCTTTCTCCTAGCACTGCTCTCATTTCCCTTGCCTGAGCTCCCCTCTCTCACAGAAGAAGAAACTGAGGCCCAAAAAGAGAACAATGCACATCAAAACTTTAGAATTTAGGGACTCAAATCATATGCATATGCTTATGCCATTGCTGGGACCAAAATCAACCCCTGGAATTGTGTTTTGGGGAATAAGGATGAGATGTGACTAGAGAGATGCCAGGGCTTAGAGTTCAGGATACCTACCTCCTCTGGGCACATCTCATGAGTGCAGTGGACAAAATGAGACAAAATTAGGGGGAAAGCAATGCATTATCGCAAACATGGTAGGTTCCTCCAGGGTATAGAAACATCTTTCAAAGGTACGAAGATGAAAGCTGCAGAGAAAGGGAAAGTAGACAGTATCAGGATTTAGCAACTGGTCCTTTGAAGTATAGAGAATAGTCATTCTTTCAATTAATATTTATTGATACTCACCACTCTCTCCTAATTTCCCTATCCTTAAACTAGAAGATAACCCAAGAAAGTTAATTCTTTTATATTTTTATAATGGACCCCAGGGCAGTTTAGTGACAATATTCTTCTCTTTGCTTGCATAAAATTTGCTACTCATCCCTCAGAACCTTGGCATGACATTGATCTTTCTCCCTAATTTGTAAGTCCCAACTTCACGATCCTTCCAAAATTTGACACTCAGACTCCAGAAAACCTTTTCAGATTTATTTCATGAGACTGATCTTTCCTCAATCCTATAACCTCTCAATTTCATGTACTCTTTTCTCCTTTTCTTACATTTGCATATGTTTCTTACATATGTTTTTAACATAAATATTACATTTCCCCATTTATATTAGTTGCAGAGAACAAAAATAACCTATTATAATTTTTTGTTTGCTTGATCTTTCACAGAGTAGAGTTTTGCACAACAGTGATCACCTAATAAATATTGAGTGCTACATACGAAAGACAACAAAATGTTCTTTTCTAGCCCCTCCAACTATTTCTCAGTTCTCACTACTAACCTTTCCAAGTTTTCCATACTCGTTTTTAAATCATAACATCCCAAGAACATTAAAAAAAAACTTGAAGACATTTTTCAAAGATAAACAGTAAAGATAAAAAAAAAAAAAAAGATCAGAAGACTGCCATACAGATGGGTTAGCCTAGAGCAGGCAAGGCTGTGTAAAGTCCGAATGGCTTCCTCACAAGGATGAATATGGAACAAATGGATCAACTTCAATCCTATCACTTAGGATTAGTGTTAGAAGCTGGCATGAGTGAGCTGTGGCCATCAAGCATCTGCATTAAGATCAAAAAGAAAAAGAGAATTTCCCATCTGTCTAGAGGATTATAGTCATTACAGAGCTCAGGCCAAAAAGATCAAGTGAATTGATAAAGAAGTCTGACCAAGGACATACCAGAAAGTAGAAAGGTCAGAAGTTTCCATCAGCACTTTCTCTACTGAGTCCAACATTCGGGAATGAAAACAATGAGGTTCATCACCTTGGCTAAGTCAGGGTTTCTCATGCAGGTGCAGGGGAGCCTTTTGCCACACTGGTATAGGCCTGTGGGTTGGAGTGTGAGAAAAGTGTGGAGAAAAAATAAGAATGAAATGGATCCCCCAGCCTTGGGACTACAATTTGGCCTAGATATGTCCTGTTCAGTCTTGCAGTTTTCACGTTTAATCACTCCATAAAGCAGAGCTAGGGAAACAAAACCAGAAGGACTTTTGGGAGAGGAGAAACTAAGGCAGGCGGGTGCCTACCAACAGGAGTAGACCATTACCTGCAGGCGAAACCCAGTCTAGCCTTAATCCAGAGAAGTCGAATTTCTCTCCATTATCAACTGCAAGACGAAACAGAAATATAAAAGGAAAAAAATAAAATAGTACTTAATATCTGACTGCAAGAAATGGTAGGTTTCTCTTCAGGAGTCATCTTGCCCTTGTACTCTGGCTCACAGATTCAATCATTTAAAAATACATTGACCCCACAAATGTCGCTGCCTCCTCCACTCCCTTCAGTTACCTTGTTTGAGATTCAGATTGGGAGGGGTACTGACGAATGAGGACATGATGATGGACTCCTCTCTGGACACCAACAGGTTTCTAAAAGAAGGGTTGGAGTTGTTGTCGCTGGCATGTCAGTCAATTGAAGGGAGGAAGATTCCTAAGTGCCCAAAGCAGGAAGCAGCCGGAAGTGATGGAGAACTTTAACTGGGAAAGTTTTAATTTTTCTCTGATTTATGTGTAGTTTGACTTAGAAAAAATATATGCTGAGGTTATTATCTTTTTTTTAACAATGTAGAACAATGAGCTAGTGTGCATACCTATACCCAAGCACTTGGAGACTAAGGCAGGAGGATCATGAGTTTTGAGACTAGGCCTGGCCGTACAATAGATGAGACCAAGTCTCCCAAAAAAAAAAAAAAAGGTAGAAAAAGAAATCAGGCTTTTCAACACCCAATCTTACAGAGCATGAGATTTACCATCATGGCTCCAAGAAGAAACTGAATGATCAGAGATTCACCTGAATTTCCAAGTATAATCAACACACCTGAATATGTCAGCTAGCCACAAGGCATCAAATCTGGCCAGGTACTGAAGATGATATTGTTGTAATCACTTTGATGTGTCTTCGTACCAAAGCCTAATTTCCTCAACAAGAAATAGCTCTGCAATGCTCCTGTAAAATTCAGGTGAGGTGATAGAGACAAACATGATAACAGGCAAAAAGTAAGGAACCCTGAGGATTTTGACTTCTTCCTTGTCCCTTTTTTCCAGTCCACCTTAAGACAAGATTCTTAGGTACTCTCGAGTACTAACCGAGTCAGTGTAGTTCTCTCAGGTGTCTTTGTCTGGTAACATTTCGTATGGCGAACCGCCAGCGTGACCTCATCACCGAGATGAAGGACAGGGCCATGAAAGCAAAAAGAGCCTAAGGAAAGG